ATGATTATATGTTGGAGGCGCATAATTTCAACAGCAGCTAAGTGTTCCGAAGTCTGAGGCTGAGGACAGCTCTCATTGGCAGCAATTAGAAGTAAAGCTCCATCCATGATTGCCGCTCCATTAAGCATAGTAGCCATGAGAATATCATGGCCCTACAAGAAAGGAAGAAAAAGAAAGATTGTCATTTTATATCTGATAATGCATTGTGATGGATGAAACACTTGATGTAGAAAAGCAGGCACAACTGTTGAAAGGACAAACAAATATTGACACTTCCTTAGTTTCATGCAATGGACGTTGATTGAAAATTCATGCTCTATTTCGGACATATGTTAGGGATCAGACCAAAGAAAATGATTTGCATTAAAAGATTGACAGATAAGAATACTTAATTAGCAAAGTTAAAGGGTACAAGGTTGTGGAGCAATGAGGCAATTGGATAATGATGAAAAACCAATTATAAAAAGAAAGAATCCCATGGGATATTCTGTTAGGAGCTTACTGGGCAATCAACGAATGACACATGCCTCAGCAACTTCATCCTGCAGTTCTCAAAACCAGGCACATCGCACATAGGACTATCTTCTTTTCCACTTCCATATGCCCTACAAAATGATATTGTATGTAACAGTGAAACTACTAGACTGAATCAACAAGACGGCCTACCTTCCCATTCAGAAACTTACTTGTAGCACATAGGTCTAGGGCAACGGTCCTCTTCACATTTATATATCTTTGCATTGGCATATCCAAGCTTAATTGTAATATTACGTTCAAGCTCATTTTTAAAACGAACAGTCTGCAAAAACAAGCTATATTACCAAAATTTTCAACTATCTTTTCTAACAACTATTCTTTCTATATAAAACTACTACATCATTAACAAAGAATATGAAAAAATTGAAGTCAGTCCAACGAGCAAGTATAGATTTGCTTCAGATGAGACAACTCAGCACACACAAGCATTGCATATACACTGAAATAACCATTCTAAAACGCTTTTTTCCCAACATAATAGAAGTTTTATATGTATATATTAATCATTCTCCTAGGGAACTACATTTTTATGGCTTCAAACAGAAAGACTAGCAGCACTACTTGGTTATTCTTTAACCAAGCTTCATACTTAATTGTATCCAAGTAAGAGTGACTACAGACTACACAGAAAATAAGGCTTCTCAAAGCCAAACTGCCTAAGCACTTATATGTACAAACTCAACATATTGTGACAAACCTGGACACCGGATATGGCTTTTACAACTGTTGACTTCCCATGGGCCACATGACCAATGGTGCCTGAAAATAGAAAATTGAACTTAGTATTGAATGCATGACAATAGCAAGCGCTTGCCTGCTTGCAAAATATACACATAACTATGTATGCAGGGCAATATGATGCTTGCAGTTTCAAACTGCAATGAACTTACCAATGTTTATTGTTGCCTGACGAGAGATCACCTCAGGTGATAGTGGATGTAGCTGTGTTACATCTAACTTACTTAGATCCTGCTCCATCAATCCTTTTCTAGACATTTTGCTGCCCTTTACTTCAGTATCCACTCAAATTTCAATCCTGGAATTGTGAGATGTGAGACAAAGAACATCATTCTAAGAACAAATTTTAATTTCCATAATCCATAGAATCTTGCATTTACATGTAGGTCCATGATCATTCAAAGAAAATCAATAAACCTAGTGTACATATCACCCACAAAAGCACAAAAACATATGGCGCAACTTCTTCATCCTAAAGGCCCCATTACATAAGAAGGGAACCAATAACATAACTAAGATGCTTGGATCCCTCATCATAATCTCCAAAAGAGACTAATTTCCCCTCGGACTGGGGAGAGCCATACTTTGCTCCATCTGGTCCAACATCCCAACTTCTTCGATGACTAAGATTTGTTGAATATACAGTCAAGTAATCCAATCCAGCACATATGCAGTTCAGGTTTCCCATTAAACAGGGTGAATTCAAAGCAGAGAAACACACTCAGTCAGCTAGAAACCACACAAAATTTACATAAATACAGCTGAGTTCTAGGTTAGGCACGCCCACTCTAGCATTCAAAGGCGTTCTCAACTCTCTAAATCCCAATTCACCATATTCATGTTTACATTGCGAGTTCGCTCTCACAACAAATCAGGGGTTATAGAACAGCGACATGGCTAAAAAATAACACCAACTAATTTCCAATAATGACGAGCTTAAACACCGCCCCCAAAAAACCTAATCCCCTGACCTCATTTCACATATGTAAAAATTTTCATTTCAACAAACCGAGAGAAAGAGGTAATAAGTGTGTGTGCGCGCGCGCGGACTCACCGGAGAAAAGGCGTTTGCGCCGGCCGTCGAGAGTGCAGTGGGGTTTTCAAGGGTTGAGCAAAGCGAGAGAGACGACGCAATGAGAGTGGGTCAAGTAGGCCTGTAGCTGAAGGAACACATTCGTTAAAGTGGAATTGGGAATAAATAAAATGTGTGAAGAAAAATACTCTACTTTCCTATCCGGCATTCAGATGGCCCAATAAAGACTGGCCCAGTGATTACTAAAGAGTGGCCCAATATTTATTTTTTAATAATGGCCCAATATTTATGTTCCCTCAAACCCAATTATCATCTTTGGGCAAATTACGTTGTGCATCCATGTGAACCATGCATGGTGCACACGGAACGTTATGGTGTGCATCTGTGTACACCGTGCATGGTGCATACGGATGTTAAAACGACGTCGTTTTGACTAAAAATGTGCGTCCCATTTGAAAAAAATTAGTTTCGATTCTCCTCAACAGCATTATGTTGTTCATTCATTCTGGATTTTTAGTTCATAGATTCTGGATTTTTAGTTCATTGATTCTGGATATTTAGACGTAAATTGAAACTGATTTTTTTTTTCATTCATGCTGGATATTTAGTTCATTCATTATGGATATTTAGTTCATTCGTTCTGTATTTTTAGTTCATAGATTCTGGATTTTTAGTTCATTGATTCTGGAATTTTAGTTCATTGATTATGGATATATAGTTCAAATTATGCACAACATAATGCTGTTGCTGGGAATCGAAACTGATTTTTTTTAAAAAAGTGGGACGTGCGTTTTTAATAAAACGACGTCATTTTTGCATCCGTATGCACCATGCATGGTGCACACGGATGCACAACATAATTTGTCGGTGCACACGGATGCAAAAACAGTGTCGTTTTACTTAAATAATTTTTTTTTTTTTAAAAAAACATTTTTAATTGCTGTTAGTTACGTAAACATATGTTCATAATTTTATAATTTCACATTCTGGATTTATAGTTATGAAACTATGGATGTGTAGTATGCAATTCTGGATTTATAGTTATGAAGTTATGGATGTGTAATTATGCATGTAATTCTGAATGTATTCTTATGAAGTTATAATTTCTGAATGTATAGTTATGAAGTTATGGACGTGTAGTTATGCAATTCTAAATGTATAGTTATGAAGTTATGGATGTGTAATTCTGCATGCAATCCTGAATGTATAGTTATAAAGTTATGGATGTGTTGTTATGCAATTCTGGATTTATAGTTATGAAGTTATGGATGTGTAGTTATGCAATTCTGAATGTATAGTTATGAAGTTATGGATGTATAGTTATGCAATTCTGGATTTATAATTATGAAGTTATGGATGTGTAGTTATGCAATTCTGGATTTATAGTTATGAAGTTATGGATGTGTAGTTATGCAATGCTGGATGTATAGTTATGAAGTTATGGATGTGTAGTTATGCAATTCTGATTTTTGTTTTTAAGTCGGACGTCAAAACGACGTCGTTTTTACAACCATGTGCACTATGCATGGTGCACACGGTTGCACAGCATAACGCTCCGTAATTATTGATCTAGGTTACTTTGTTACACATTTCTGAAGTTTCCTACATCCTTCTAGAATCTAGACTTATTTTGAATTTTGTCATAACTTCTTATAGTTTATAAAATTTTCTAGAAACATATATATAACACTAGTAGTTGTAGAGATGTATGGAATATTCTATAACTTTAGAGTTGTGTGGAGATTTAGGGAGGTTCTAGATATGATTTTTAACCATAGGATCTAGTGGATCTCAAACATCTATTAAGGAGGTGGAATGGTATAAAAGGCTCATTTGCAAACAACCCCTAGAATCCAAAAGTTCAAGTATCCAAGTTCATATGTGTTATTTCTTAAATCTTTTTTGAAAGGTTCTTGCTTTTCTTAGTCATCCAATCATACCTTCGAGGGTCAAGTCACGCTAACTTAGCTATTGCACGAGACGTCATTAGGGAAGGAGTCTGTGACATTAAGCTATCATTATCCCTTCAAGTGTATCTGACTTTCAAAACTAGGTCCAACATCTACATTATCAAATTTAAAATTACTTCACTATTTTTCCCACGTCCCTTCAATACTCAGTCAATTTCAAAAATAGTCTCACATTCACATTACAATTATAAATTCATATATTTTCCAATAAATAAATACATATAATATGACAGCAAAAGCTGCCATTTGACAATAAAAATAGTGCGTTAAAAGCTTGCTAAATTAGATGAACATGGTTACATGTTCTTGTATCACTCAAAATAAATTAATGATATCATTAGACATTTCATCAAATTTCTTCAATAGTTGAAAATTGAGGTAAAGACCTTGTTCGGTCAAATAGTTAGCTTATTAGCCAATTTTGATTTATTTAACTTGATTAAAAAATCAATATAAGTGTTTAGTTTTTTGTAATTTCAAAATGCTAAAATTAAAAAAATTTTCCCAAGTAACTTTTTCAATTAGTTTTTTTTATAAAAAATATTATAATAAATTATATCAAACAGCTATCAGCTAACAACTAATATCAGTATATTATCAACTAGTTATACCCTCTAATATTAACTAACATCTATTTACCAAACGGGCCAAAATGTAACTATAATTGGAATAGAACATTGAAGAAAAGAAAACAACAAGACAAATAAAAAGAGGAATGTATACATTTTTAAATTTTCTTTACTTGATAAATAGTTGTTTCATGATACATGTTTTTGTATCATTCGAAATAAATTACATGACTAGTATACTAAAATTATACAATATATTTTACTCTGTGAAGACATTATTCTCGAGCACTAAATACAATTTTACCAACAAAAAAAAAAAAAAAAAGAAGCTAAACTCATTCTAATGACTATTTTCCAATTTTTTGCCTTATTATTACCACCTCTCTACATCTTTTTCTTATTTCATTTAATGATGAGACAAACGAAGCTTTATATTACTGAGTGTCGACGCCGGAGACGAACTTCTCGTCGCCGAATATCCGTTTCCGGAAGTCGGAAACCATGAGCGGAAGCCCCTCCCGGAGGGAGATTGTGGGCTCCCATCCAAGGAGTTGTTTGGCTCTTGTGATGTCTGGCTTTCTCTTGTGAGGGTCGTCTTCCGTGTTTGGCCTGAACTCTATCTCCGCACTTGGTTCAATTGTGTCTTGCACAACCTGCATATTAAATTAACCTCAATTTATTGATTACAAATATTATAAGGTTAACCCCAAATTTAAGATTTTCTCACCTGTTCGGGAGACTATGTAAGTTTTTGGTAAAGATGTATGTTAAATTGTGCATTAGCTTATTGGTTAGTGTAAATGACCATTATATTAAAGATTAAGTATGAGTGGCCGTGAATTCTCATCTCAAGAGGTCGGGAGTTCCAACTCACTCTCGTATGAAAAAATCAATCTAGCTAGCACTTTGTCTCTTAATTGGATCAATTCGGTACAAACAAATTTAGTGTCATTTTCATTATTAATAATACCATTATGAAAATTGAAACTATAGGTGCACCGCTTTTGTGATGAAATCCTATTGAATTTTGTCATATGATTTGTGAATGATCAAAATTTACAATTTTTTACAATAATATGTGAATGGACAAGTTTGCCCATACATTTTAGTCACCCAACTCGATAGAATCTACTAGAATTTCAATCATCATATTTTACCCAAAACACCAAAATCATAAAAAAATAAAAAAAGCATGCACTTATTAAGGCATCCTCAATAAGGATTGGTTACGAATTTTTGTGTGAGGTGGATGAGAGACGGTAAGAAAGAGTCTATATGAGTATATTACAGCATGGGAGTTTTTTGGACTTATGATGGATCTCACCGAAGAAAAAGCGATGATGGTGTGTGTTTCACACACCAGTAGCACCCATCGAGTTCGTTTTATGGCTTTTCTGACTTTTCTTGTTTCTTTTTATCTTTTTTCCCCTCTTTATCTTTCCTCTCTCAATCTCTCTCTCAATTGACAAGAAAAAATTCGATAAGAGACCTCAAATGTTGGGGTTGTTCTAAATGGACTTGATATAATAAAATTTAATGAGATTTTACTGAAATGAAAAAGATAAAAATCGTGGAACTAAAAGTAGTGATGAAACTAATCCATAATAAATGTACCTTTGCCAATTCAAGCATTGTAAATTCACCAGGATTCCCAAGATTGAATGGACCAACATGATCACCTTCCATCAATCTGATTAGGCCTTCTACCTGTTCATTAAACACAATACAAACCAAGATTCATACTCATCAAAAACATATATTAATCTTGGGTATTTAATCTAATCTACTATGTGTTGATTCACACAAGTTTAAATACAAAAATACTTTAATTTACAAAAGCACATTTCGCGCCTGCGTCTATAGCAGTACAAATACATATTATCCGCTACTAAAAACTTACCAAATCAGAAACATACTGGAAACTCCTAGTCTGCTTCCCATCTCCATACACAGTCATAGCTTCCTTTCTTAATGCCTGCACAAACAATCACATCAAACTTGGATATCAAAGAACAAGCCAATGAGAGAAAGCATTGTGAAAAAATAATAATAATAAAGTAAAAAGTGAGAGTACATGTAATATTATTTCAACAGAATATGTTACGTTCATAACTAAGTTGGGTTACAAACCTGAGCAACAAAATTGCTAACAACACGGCCATCATCAAGGCACATACGCGGTCCATATGTGTTAAAGATTCTAGCAATTCTTACCTGCAGATCAAAACAACATTATACCCACAACATTTTTTATCCTTACTTTTGTAGTTTGTTTGTGGTACACAAGGAGATCAGACAACCTCAATGTTGAGTCCTCTATGGTAATCCATCGTTAATGTCTCAGCTGTACGTTTTCCCTCATCATAACAACTCCTAACACCTGTGGTTTAACGTAACAAAGAAATTGCCAGAACGGGCAACTCAGTTGATTTCTGGGTAGATAAGAGGCAATGTAATGAAGAAATTAATATTATAATGTTGAGCTTACCAATGGGGTTGACATTGCCCCAGTAAGTCTCGGTCTGTGGGTGCTCCAAAGGGTCACCATACACCTCACTGGTACTTGTCAGCAAGAACCTAGCACCAACCCTCTTTGCTAAACCCAACATGTTTAATGTTCCCATCACATTTGTCTTGTGATCAGGCCACTTTAAGTCAAGGAAAAAACACTTCTCCAATTCATAATCATATATATATGTACCCATCAAACAAATTTATTAAAACATGAAAATTCGGGAGCAACCAAGTCCAAATTCATCAGACAGTTGACTTAATAATAAGTATGAGGTTACAAATTTGGGGCCTATTGGCCTTCTTGATCTGAACCGATCAGCTATGACAACCTAAGTTGGTTTACTTAGCGTACACTTTTGGATGATCTATTGGCCTTCTTTGTCTGAATCGGTCAGCTATGGTAACCTAAGCTGGTTTACCTAGCGTACACTTTTGGATGACCTATTAACATTTTTGGTCTGAACAGGTTAGTTATGACAACCTAAACTGATTTACCTAGCGTACACTTTTGGATAATGATTACGGGTTTCCCTCGGGACTCAAAAAAATAATTTAAAACATGAAAATTTGGGAGCAACCACGTCCAAGTTCATCTTAACTTAGTAATCTAATCCAAGGTTACAAATTTGACTCCCAGTAGGAGCGGTCTATTGGCCTTCTTAGTCTGAACCGATCAGCTATGGCAACCTTAGCTGGTTTACCTAGGGTATGCTTTTGGATAATGATTACGGGTTTCTCTAGGGACTCGAAAAATAATTAAAAACATGCATGAAAATTCAGGAAACAGATAGATGCATGTGAGGATATGATGGTCTTGACAGGGTTGTACTTGTAATAGACAGGGGAGGCAGGGCAAGCCAAATGGTAGATCTGGTCTACTTCCAACAAGATGGGCTCGACGACGTCGTGGCGGATGAGCTCGAACCGGGGGTTTCCGAAATGCTGTATCAGGTTTTCTTTCCGGCCGGTGAAGAAGTTATCGATCACTATTACACTGTCGCCCCGAGCGATCAACCGGTCCACCAAATGGCTCCCCACGAACCCGGCTCCCCCGGTCACCAATATCCTCAGCCCTTTTCTCTTGAACCCCATCGAAATTCTTCCACCTGAATTATTGTTCATAAATTCTCACTCTTTGCATTGTGTATTTACTATTTAGTTTTACTTTGGATTATGCATGTCATTTCAACTCAACTTTTAATTCTTTCTCCCAGGTTGAATCCAACCTAATGACCCCAACACTCCGATCCTATAGAGTATTTGAAATGATGTAAATTAATATTGACTCACCGACACAACAGACAGGGTCAAATGTCCTGTGATCACAAAAAATCTAACCACTTTGAGCATAGAGCATAATCACACACTATGGCTGCTGAAGTTCGAACTTTAGTCTCTCATCTCAACAAGATCAACTTTTGCTTATTGTTAGATGTTCCCGAAACATTTTCATTAATATAACTAGAGGTATGATCATGTGAGAACAGGTGTTCAGGTACCACCGAAAAATTGTACGGCACAAATTATAAAGTACAGGTAATGATATGTAAAAGTGCATTTAGAAAACATGCAAACTCTAAAAAAAACACACATCACACAGAATCACAAAATATATATATTCTTGAATTTCATTTTTACATATTGTAAAATTGTAGAGTGTACACTCCTATATATACACTTTATAATTTTACGTGATAAACGTTCACATATTTGCACATAAACATATGTCTTATATATCTTTACTGACATATAACTACTGGTGCTAAAAGACATCTTTAAATAAAGAAATATCGTACTTAAACTTCTTATATATACATTTGTATACATGTTAAATCATCTTTAGTGAAAGATCATGTGACACTAGCTAGGCGTGCCATTTGGGGAGATCAAATAGTCAAAATAGTAACTACCTCCCCGTTAAACATCATTTTCTTTCACATGCCACTCCTGATTATATTCCCTCCATCTTTCATATATATATATATATATATATATATATATATATATATATATATATATATATATTTATATTCTACAAATTAAGCAGAGATATATACATAAATAAATTTTACAATGTTGTATGCTTTATAAAATTGACATAGATACAAACACCCAAATAAATTTCACAATATTATGTGCTTTATAAAGTTGTATTTTATACTTGACAAGTTGTACATTCACCTATACTATGCAAAACACGCATCATTGGATGTAACCCATGACATTATAATTTTTTATATATATATTTTTATAATACTATAATAATATTACTATTTAATATAATACGGAGTATTAGTATATATATATATATATATATATATATATATATATATATATATATAGTTAGCAGATTATGCACAATTAGTATAAATGAATATGCACTACCTAATACATAATTTGGGCTCATAAGTCCACGATACCATAGACAGTACATTATGGACTCTGATCCAAAATAATTTTCAGATTATGTGTTGTAGTTGACATATACACAATATGTTACTGCAAACACATAATATGTTGTTAACATGTTATGTACTATACTGTTAATTGTATGTATAAAATATGTCAACTGCTGACATATAATTTGTATATCGACATACCGTGTTTACAATGTAAGATGGACTCTGGTGTATAACAATTGTATTAGGACAAAAACATGCTGGGTGTGAAGAAGATTTCTTCGTGAAGGCCCAAAATTAAGGAAACAAATCATTGCCATGGATATGCATGCTTTTAATTACTGCAAATAATATTAATGAAAAAATAACGTAACAGAAAAGTGATGGAGACTTCATGCCTGCGTTCACGGCGTTTAGCGAGGTCTGAGACGTCTCGTACATCACCCTCCGAGGAATGATCGGAGGCGCCGACTGGGCCGAGCCAGCCGCCGCGATCCCGGCGCCGTGCGATGGGCCGAACGCGAAGATAATCGTCGACAGGCCGACGCCGATGAGAAGGCAGAGCACGCGTTGTTCTCGGAGGACGTAATGCACGGCGGACGATGGCGAGAGACGCCTGCTGCGGCGAGGAGGCTGTGTGCGGTTGTGTGTGTGGATGATGTCAGCCATCGGAGAATTGGAAGATCAATGGCGATTTGAATTGATCGAGAAAATATTGGCCTGGGAAGATCGGAGATAAAAGGAAGGAAGAAGAAAGATGGGCGGTTGGTTTAATTTGGGTGAGAATTGAAAGACCTAAAAGATGGCGAGGAGGAATGGATGCTTTTGCATGAATTTTGGGAGTGATGAGAGAAAGATCGATGAAGCTAAGGATTGGATTGGAGGTAGTGCCCTGTGCGTGAGCGTGCAGTGCTCACCGCTGCCTTTACACTTTCATCTTCATCATACAATTAAACACCATTTTGGGTATTTTTTTATTAATAATAATAAAAATAATATACAAATGTTCAAATTTCTTTTTGTTTTTTTTTTTTTGTTTTTTTTTTGTTTCAATATAATCTTTTAAAAAATTACATTAATTTTATTGGAACAACTCAATAAATTTAGTTGAACTGTTGATGGATCAATTTATTAGTCTTTTTAACTGATTTATTTTCTTGTAGTCCTTTGCCCACTAAAGTACAATGCAGAGTTTACTCAATATACTTACTAGATAATGGTTGCAGATTTTCCTCATCATTCAAAAAATATATATATAACTTTATGTTTTTAGAATAAAATATTATTTTCAAAATAATAGACATAAAGCTAATATGAATATTTTGTTAGGGTAATTTCTTATATTTTCTAATTTTTTGTATGTTACTGACTCTATTACAATGTAGTATCTGTTCATTAACTACTTTTTCAACCTGACTCTAATTTAGTCATCCACTAATAATTTAATGTAATTTTGTTATCAACTTTGGTAGTTAACTGGTGGCCCAATTTCATCCTCTGTTTATATTTTCGTATCATTTCACAATCTACAAAAGAAGAAATAGTAATTAATAATTTACGACAACCGTTAAAATAATGTGTATATGGAAAAAATATACACATAAATAATTTAATAAAAAGATAAAAGATTGAGTGTCGTGCTTAAAAGAGTTAAATCTAGTTAGCTGATCAGAGCAAACCAGGTAACTGCTAAATATTAACTTTAATAAATTTTTGCACGTTATTGACAAGATAATTAATATTTTACATTTTAACACCCCAATAAAACAAGATACGTAACAAAAGATTAAATAGTAATACTAATAATGTAAATAATTAAATTACAAAAACTCTTCTCACAAAAGATTGAATTCTCAATTTCAATGACCCCACACTCTTACCTGACAGAATATTTGAGAGGGTATAAATCATAGTAACACAATGATTCAACCATATATCCATGTGTACAAGATATTTGTCCACTTTGAACATAATTCTAATATTGTCGTTGGCGATTATTTAAATTTTGATCTCTTATCTCAAATACTGTCTATGTTTATTGAACTATTGAGCTAAGCCCAAGCAGAAAAAGAATTCTTTGGACAACTAATCCATCGATTGCAGTGCAACGGTGGGGGTTGTGTACTTGGTGAAAATTATTTTTTACTTCTTCTTGGAGAATGGAGATAGCGACAATGCAATGAAAGTGTACGTAGATGGAGTGAAATTTAGCACATCTATTAAAGTCATGATAAAAATATAAAATTAAGTCAATTTATTAGTTGAGGACCGTGGATAAATGAGCAAATTATATTTTTAGTTATCAGCATTGTGGCATTTAATTTTATTACGGTGTATTTAAATTTGAACAAATACCAATTTTAATCTCATAAGTATTAACAAAATAATAATTTTAGTTTATATGTTTAATTCTTATCAATTTTTATGACGGTTGTTAAAGACTATTGCTTTAGTGGCAAAATTAATCATGCGGTCACCTCATTCGTTTAAAACATGCCGAAATATGAAATTATTAAGTTCATTTTTGTTATTTGCAAATTAAGATCACAATTTGAACATGAATAAAAGAATTTAAGCCATAAGACGATCACAATTTGTAATTTTCATTCTCAATAGTAAAAGTCTCTTTTGACCCAAAACATAGAAAACTAAACCCAAAACGCGTCCCAACTCTTCGTTTTATAGCCTCTCCTCTCCATCTTGCCTACCACTTCAGACCTTTTCTCCCAACACCACCACCCCCCCCCCCCCCCCCCCCCCACCACTCTCACGCTCCTCCGATTCAAAACCATGATAGTAGAAGACCAACACCGCGGACCGCCGCACGGCATCTTGCTCGCGGTGGTGGTGGCGGTGGTGCTGTTCGTTCCCACCATGCTCGGCGAAAACGGCGAGGCTATAACGGAGTTCATCTCCGAGCTGCTCAGCCCCGCGGGGATGCTGCTCCTCCCCATTATCCTCCTCCTCGCCATCCAGTTCCTCTCCTCCGACACCGGCGGCTCCTTCGTCTCCGCCATCTTCTCCACCGGCGAGCCCAACACCATCCACCGCGTCAGCGGCTCCCCCGTCGGCGTCGCCCTCCTCCTCGTCCTCATCCTCTTCCTCCTCTACAACAAGGTCTCCATCTTCGGCGGCGATGATGATTCCGGCGACTAAACCGTAAATAAGGGTTTGTTTGGTTTAGATCTCAGCTTTTTTTTTTCTTTTTTATTTATTATTTTTATTAGTACAAACGTATAGTATTGTGTGCACGTAGGAAGGTTGTATCATGAAAAAGATCTTTCGTTGTATGATGGGGTTTGATGATTGTAGTTTTACATAAATACCCCAGGGAGACAAAGACAAGCCAATGGGCAATGTGAGAGATTTTTGAGGGCATTTATGTCATTAGAAAATTCTACTTTGAAGTTTTATTCAAGCAAAAAGTAAATATATATATATAACAAAATTTGATCAAATGTCACACTCATAATTTATTAATCTTGAATTTTTAACCAATTAAATTAAATTGAAAGTTTTACTTTTATGGTCTTATTCAAACAATAAGGAAATTATAACAAAATTGAAACACATGTCACACTCATATCATAATGTCTTATATAGTACAATATTATTAGGAAAAATAACAATTTTAGTTCATTTTAGTTCTTAGATTAAATTCGTGAGATTCTAATATGAGAATCATGTTTCAGATCTCTCTATGATTGCTCAATAATAACTAAATAATTGAGTAACAAAATACACACTTTAATTATAGATGCTAAAAATCATCATTTTTTATATTATAAAATATATGATATTATAACTGTAATTTATATTATTGGAAAATATATTTGGAATCTTAAAATTCGAGTCCAAACAAAATTTGTCCAACACAAAAAAATAGGTAATACGGAGTATTAGTCTTCTTCAAATTTGTCTGTTGTTGAAATCTATATGGTGGAAGGCCTCTTTCATGCTGATCTATGCACTCTTTGCTCGTGGCTACTTCTTATTTGTGGACCCTATGATTTTACATTTTAATATATATATATATATATATATAAACTATTAAAATAAAAATGTGGATGATTTTTTGTTGCAAAAGTCAATGAAATGAAGAGTGGATGAAACTACAACGACTCAAATATCACTTTCATTCGATTATAGAGAAGAGAAAGACTCGTCAAGCACCTTGTATGGAGGTTGTGAGTTCCCGGTTGAGAAAGTAGTTATGAACAGATATTACATTGTAATAAAGTCAGTAATATTCAAAAAAAAAAAAATACAGAAGAAAAAGACTCAAAAATTCAGAGAAAGAATTCACAACCCAACTAATGAGTTTTATCCATCTTACAAGGCGTGGTTGTCGTTTTTACATACTTTTTCTTTGAACAATTTCATCTAACTCCCTTGGTTAGATTTTACCAAAATAATTTGAATCAAATTTTGTTAATGGAGAGTACTACACAAATGGACGAATCAAGTAAGTTGTATAAATGTTGTTTATCCTTTTTTAATCCATTGACTAGCCAAAAGAACAAAAATTTTTAAAACTTAAAAAGAGAATACAAGATCCCATCTGTCTCTGAACTGACTACTGACACAAGCACTCCATCCAAATGAATTTGATTTTTTTTTTTTTGAAAAAATGAATTTGATTTAAAAAGTGTGAAATTAATGAAATTGTTCCAAGTCATTTTTTCAACGTATTCTCACATCAAATTTTATTATCTCCAACTCATTACACCAAAACACAATTTCTACACCAAATATTATCCTACACTAAAATAACTTGATTTTTCAAAATTTAAAACTTTATTAGCTTGAATTTAATAAGTTCAATATAAAATAGAATATGTGATGTAAGTAATAATGTTTTTGTTATGTTTGATGTATTTTAATTTTTAATTAATATATATTAATATTAGTCTTATTTTAATAGCCTCAATGAGATTAATAGAAGGGAATAATATAATTTACTTTTAATAATACAAATTCAAAATTTAAATATTTAACAAAATAAAAAACACATATAAAACATATATATAAAAGATACATTTGAAATTGTATAAATAAACAGGGGTAGAAAAGTTAAATCTCTACTCTCACATTTGCCATATGTGAAGAGGACAACACCATATATGACACGACACTGTTCACTTCCGTAAAAAAAATAATGACGTTTGCCATTCAATTGACACTGGGTAGGAGCAGGAACAAATGGCGGGATGATAATTTGGCATTTTACCCATCCCTTAGAAATGCTCAAGGGTACATTTTAATCAAAGTAATATTACAAGATTTTAATAAAAAAAAATTAATTAATGTTATATATTTTAATAGATTAATAAAAATTTGTAACATGAAACGAGAATTACCGACGCTTTTTTTAAAAAAATATTTTCTTATAAGTTTTAAATTGAAATTAATTTGTAGTCTTCCAAAAAAGTATATAAATTGTACGGAGTATCTTGTATATACTAACACAAAATTAAATAGCAAAGAATTACAGTTTATTTTGGTAGGGAAGCTTCACATGGTCATCTGACAAGTGACAACTGACCATACTAAAAATTTTCAGCTTTATTTATACAAAAGACTGACAGCAAGATTCCAGTTTCCACAATGGCAACGTGGAGCGTTAGATCAACCTCATTTTCCCAGGGAGATCTGGATCTGAGTGAGTGTGAGTACCTTCACTTCTGATTCCCCCAATAATTCTTCCTTTCCCTTTCTTTAAAAAAAAAAAAAAAAAAAAAAAAAACTCTGGAGAAATGTTTTTATTTTTTTTTATTTTACTGAGAGTTAACTCTCACCCCACCCTCAAAAGACAGAGTCCCTCATCTCTAAAGCCTTCATATCTCAATCCGATAAGATTATGGAGAGATAAATCACAGTAATCTTTTAAGTGGGAGGACAAGTGTCTAGTGCCCACAAAGAACCACCACACTGGGCGAAACTTCTGAGAAAACAACTTCCTTCCTCCAGAGATATCTTGCAAAGCAGTACAACAATGGCACAAGAATATCTAGAAGAGCTCAAAGAATAGTTTAGGAACCGAATAAGTTCAGGTTGAAAAGAAGAACCAAGTAAAAATGTAGAAACCTGAGTACCATCATACTAATGCTTCACATAAACTCGGGAGACATGCCTTCTGCTGTCAATTGCACAATCAAATATGGCAAAAGGCGCAAAATGTCTCCCGAGACATGTACATTGTGCTTCATGCAAATCAGCTGAGTTCAAAATCCCTAAGCTTATTCTGTCATAAACTGCAGCCTCATTTTTTATGACTACACCTAATTCAGGAAGGTCCAAGGCATTTGATACATCTATGCAAATATAATAATAATGGTAATAAAAACAAGATTATAGTTCCAAAATGAAATACTATGCAAATAAGCTGCATCCATGGGCTACATGTGCCGTTTGAGAGTGGCCAGATCAATGATCAGAATGGCAAGATACCTGGTTACCATTGTGAACTACTTGTCTGCAAAGTCTCTTCATTCATATCAAGTAATGCGTAACGCTGTTACCACCTCAGACCTCTCTAATCCGCGAGAAAGACCTGCTCAATCACATAAACCAAGCCTAGTAGTCTTATTTGTAGTAGTAATTAAAATTTAAAACTTAGGGTTTGGTGATATTCGAGGACAACAGGCAATGAATTACAGGTTGGCAGGCAGCAAATATCTTCATATGCATACATAACAAAGAACCCTCGAAAGCTACAAGCTTTTTGTGAAGCAGTACAAGGGCAAATGATCCACAGTTCCACACTGACATGTAATTCAATAGTATCATATAGACAGGTGCAAACAATCAATTTCAGTTTTAATCCCATGACTACAAGCCTACAAGTGGGGGTTCACTTTTAGCCTTTTAGGGTGTGTTTGGTTGATGGGTTTTGTCTATAGGAATGGGTATGAAAGTGATTGTTATTGTTTGGTTGATAGGTTTTTAGAACACAACTATGGGTTTCGAATACCCCATCAATTGAAAAACCCATACCCAAATAAAATAAGGGTTTCATTCCCTTATTCATTCTCAAGAACTACTATTAGTAACCATTCCCATTCCACCCTACTACCAAACATGTTAAATACTTTCACCAAAACCCATTACCATTACCAAGTATTTGATACCCATTCCGATTCCGATTCCAATTTGCGAACCAAACACACCCTTAGTGTCCAAATATAGGGGTGGTCACCCAACTACTGAATACAAGACAACAATGGCCATGGCTCATTTCAAAACAGCATTTGTCCAGTTGTCCAGATTTCAGTAGTTGGGTGACCACTCCCTTCCATGGAGACTACAATGGAATTTTATTAGTACTAGAGGCCATAATGGAATTATCTTGATACTAAAATAGAGAACAACAACCACATGTTCCATGCCAATGTACAAAACAACCTTCAAGGACACAGAGAAGAAGAATATAATGAAGCTTCAAATAATTAGTTGTAAAATATTAGACCGAAAACTGTTTGAAAGAAAATCTTTAAACATAAAAATTCAGACTCCTGGGATTTAGGTCTCCAATGGATTTGAAATAGAAAGTTGGGTTTCTACAAAAATATAAAAAGAAAAGTAGCTTGTATATGTGGATTGTACTCAATTTGATCTCATCAGCCTTAGCCTCAAGCACAAACTGCTCAACTAGTTGTTTCAAACACGGAGCTTATAATCAGTTTTCACAAATGGACAGTTGCTTTGAAAATTAAGGATTAGGTAATTAAATTATTAGAAGCCCAGGTATCTGGAGGGCATTACTCCACAAAGAAAGTTACAGTGTAACTTGAATACATTGAGACAGCACGCTTGTTAGTTTCAAAGCTTATTCTGAGAGAGCATGTGATTGTAGCAGCTAAAGAGTCTTACATGAATTGAGGCAGTGTGGTTATGGATAAGAGGGGATGAGATTAGGGTGATCTCTGCCTCCACTTCACCTTCCAATTGGTAAGTACAGGTGGGGGCAGAGGCAGGAGTGAAAGGCTATGCCTTAATTATCCTTTTGGTGATGCATTAAAAACCTCACCAAATGAAAGTCATGTACTTAAGATTGCCACTAACCGTACATTTGTGCCCGACATAAGTTGCAGACATACACCAAGTCGAAGACATGTAATAGGTATGGATAGCATATTTGAGGGACAACCCACAAACCAAAAATATCAAGGGCTTCAGAAGAATTCAGTCTGTTTTAAAGATGATTAATTTCCTTCGTAGTTCAGTACTTCAGTATCGTGTAAAATTTATAATCAACACCGTCATCACTAAACACAGCAGTCATATTAAAAAAAGAAAAAAAAAACTATTTTATGGAGAAAAGAAAGTGATGGACAGAGCAATTGAGCAAGGAAAAGCCTGCGCAAACAACTAACCTTCATGCCACTGCAAAATTTTGTAGTCTGTCACAATGAGGAGTTGGGTAGTTCCGATTCCACTGCCGCCTTTGGAGTTCTATATGACAGTAACGACCAAGCACATTCTTGTAATCCCTAATAACATGTTCTTCAATTTTATCGCGACCAGGACTACCAAGAGGGTAATCCTGATCAAATTCAGCTGATTTAACAAAGTACTCTACTCCATGTTTCTCTGTCATCTTCTTAAACTGATAGGAGTAACCCTTCTGCAAAGAATACTCAGGCTCTGAAAACGGGAGATAAGCAAGCAAGATGATCAGCAAAAATGGCAACATTTGAAGAATGAGTATAAAGCTAGGTCCAGATGCACCCAAATCTTCTCTTTGGTGGGCACCAGCCCCACCATGAGCTCTAGCCCGGTAAGCTTGAGTTGTCCTAAACATGTCTGACTGACCAAAGAAAGCCCTAAAGATCTCATCAGGATCGAACTCATCATCAAAAAAGTCATTGCCAGTTCTTCTCCTCCTGCGCCTAACATTATGCTGTTCATTATACTCAAATTGATCAACTAAACCAGTAAGATCATACTGCTTCCTCGACTCATCATCACTCAAACACTTAAATGCCTTGGAAACTTTCTTAAACGCCTCCTCAGAGCCTGGAGCCTTATTCTTGTCAGGATGAACTTTCAATGATAACTTCCTGTAAGCTTTTCTAATCTCCTCAACCGAACAACTCTTCTCCACACCGAGGACTGCATAATAGTCCTTTTTACTCTTAATATGCCTAATCAATTGCACGTTTTCGTCCGTGTAATTCCTAGTGCCAGTTGAAGCCTCATCCAGCTTATCTTTATCCCTCTTATCCTCCACATCACGAACATCTTTCTCATTCCTGGAAGGACCTGGACCCGAGGAATCAATATTTTCACAAGCAGCCAGAAGATCATCCACTGCCAAATTCTGGTTCAGACGACGCGCAATTTTAATAAACTTCAAAGCTTTTCCCTTATTCCCAGATGCAATTGCTTCTTTAGCAATAGCAACGCACCTTAAAGCCTCGTCCTTGTTACTCTCCATCCTAGCAAATTCACACCGACTCTAAACAAATTCAATTACAAACCCTAACTTCCATTTCCAAAACTTAAACCCTTCAATCCCTCAAACGATGCCAGCCAACGAAACCCACATCACCCAACGATCCAGGGTTTTTTGTTCGATTAATCTAAACAACAAAATTGAAAGCAATTAAACTTGCAACAATACATAGAATCTCTAAGCAGTCGGAGTGTCTAAAAGCTTCTAAATTACACTCCGTATACGATTAAAAAAAAAAAAAAACAAAAACAAAAATTAAGCAAATTCAGAAATCGTGATTGAAATTAATGACGAATACTTCGCTGTAAATTTTACCTGAAACGAAATCGAATCTGAAGGCCGACAAAGACAACATAGGTTAAAGTCGACACAACTGCAAGTCTGCAATGAGATTGTTCAGATGATTTGAGATTTTGTGAATTTGACGACTACTTACATAGATTGGTAAATTCGTGATTTTACCGATTTCCATTTGCGCCCCTGTATTTTATTTTTATTTTACGTTTATACTTTATACGTCTATTGATTTTATATATTTTAAATCGGAATTTCCTATTTACTAGTAATGATTAAGGTTTAAGTTAAATAAATTTATTTATTTTTTTTTTTTGAAAACCAAGCCAATGCGACATATATTAGAGATAGGTTGTAATAGAGTTAGCGGGACGGAGTCTCAATACAAAGCAGTATTCTGATTAAAAGTTAACGAAGGTATGAGCCAATAAATTATCCGCTCTAGGAATAAAACTGAAAGAACAATTATCAAAATAAGATATGTGAGATCTGCAACTATCAATAACATAACCAATGTACGAACGAAACTTAGTAGACGTAGAGGATAGATATTGCTGCAAAGTTAAATAATTCGTGAATAGCTTATAGACCACTCCTCATGGTCTCTAAAGACTTCTTTGCATGCGTATGCCTTGACCATGAGGGGTGAGAAACAATTCGGGAGCATAGCACTGAAAGCCGAGACATAGGTTCCATCCCCATCGAGGAGTACCGCCCCAACCGTGGCTCTGCTTGTGGAATGATCATACCCCGCGTCGAAACAGCATAGTCGCGACAGTGAGGCAGCTGCATTGTTTACCGTTGTTGGACTGTCCACAACAGCTTCGACAGTGTCCGTATGACAGTAAGGATCGGCAGGCTGATGAATACTGGTGTTTGAGTGTACAACGCACCAAGCATGCAGCGCGCCAGTAGCAGCGGCCAGAAGTTTCCTTGGCGTCGGCATACAAGTATCCCATACCGCTCCATTTATGGCCTTCCAACGATAATATAAGATTCCAGCTGCGTACATAATCCTATTAGCGTATAGAATATTCATAACTTCATCAAACCAAACATGAAAAACATTTGTGACAATATTAAAAATTGGAAGGTGAGATTCACTCCAAATGGTGCTTGTAAAATTGCACAACACCAAAGAATGCATAATATTCTCATGAAAGATACCACACATGACACAAGTAGGATCAACCTCCACACTCTTTATAAGCAAATTGTTGATAGTGGGAAGGATATCACACAAAACTCTCAATAGAAAGGTTTTCCATTTTGAGAATTTTAAGTTTCCAAATAGTGAGTCATTTATCAAACGGACCCTCATTAGTAACATAATTTCCAACAATGAGTGTAGCCACGAAATTTAAATAATTTTCATAAAATTTAAAATCGAATCATTTGTACGGTTAATTACTTGAATGTTCGGTACTGTTTAGTTCGGGAAAACCAAATTGAATTGCCCACTCCTAAAGTTAATTACTGAAATGGTCCTTGACTATAAAAAAAATTATCAATTTGGTCCCAAGTTAACGGAAGTCTAACGACAAAACTAACGGAGGACCAAATTGATTAATATTTTTAAAATTAAGGACTTAATTGGTCAAATAAAATAGTCGAAAATCAAATTAGTAATTTTACTATAGTTAAGAGATCATTTTGGTAATTAGATCTTGAATAGTTATGCTGTGCATCTGTATGCACCATGCATGGTGCATATAGATACAAAAACGACGTCGTTTTATTAAAAACGCGCGTCTTCCATTTTAAAAAATTCAGGTTCGATTCCTAGTAACAACATTATTTTGTTCATTCATTATGGAATTTTAGTTCATGGATTATGGAATTATAGTTCATCGATTATGGAACTATAGTTCATCGATTATGGAACTATAGTTCAACAATTCTGAAATTTTTAGTTCATAGATTAGATTATGAAATTATAGTTCATCAATTATGGAAATATAGTTCATCAATTATGGAATTATAGTTCATCGATTATGGAATTATAGTTTTGAACTTGTTTTTTTTTTTTTTTTACAGGAGACGCGCGTTTTATTAAAACGACGTCGTTTTTGCATCAGTATGCACAATGCTTGGTGCATACCGATGCACAACATAATTTGCCTTAGATCTTTATTAGAGATCATTTTGGACTTTTGATAATTAAATCTTTATTTGACTAGGGGAAGAGTATTGGGCCATTGGGCTTAATGACAAAATTGCAATAAAGTAAATAAGGAGTCCTTTTTTTCCCAAGGTTGAGCTCTTATAGCCTTCTCCTACTCGACCTCATATTCCTAAAGCCCAAACCCTCGCCCTATATATTTGGCCTTTCCGTATCCTTAGTATCAATCGTCTCAGCTCTCTCCTCCGCCGGATCACATCAAGCAACCTGCTAAGAGCTCGCCGCCACTCGAAATCATGTTGGTTTATCAGGATTTGCTCACAGGTAATTATATTCATATAATCTGAATTTGTGTTTAGGCTGCTATTTGCCTCCTGAGTGTTAGGGATTTTGTTTATTTGTTTATTTTACTGCTAGAACTTTTGTTGATTTCGTCTGTACTTTGTTTTTGCTGGGTTTTATGTAAATATTAGAATTTTAGATCTCTTGATTGTGTTTGTTTTAGTTATTGGTTGCTGATTTATGATAAGCATATATTGTCGGTGAAGTTTAAATCTTGTTTGGATGAGCTATTTGTTGCTTATTTATCATGTATGGGTCGGATAAAAATCGAGTCTTTTTGCTGATAATTAGCTCTCTGTTAATGTTTTTGGTAAAATCAATTATTTCTTTCTCAGTTTGCAGCTCTAAATTCTTGATGTATTAATTTTTGTTGTGCTTTGAGACATATGGAGGGCTAATTTGAAGAGTTTACATCGTTTGATTTTAGGGTGGCATGTGTGGGCAGATTCAGAAAGATAGTGTCTATTTGCAAATTGCATAAGATCTTTTAGTTATCTTAGATTTTTGGTTGAATGGTGTTTTGCTTTGATGTTGTGCTAGGTGACGAGCTTCTCTCAGACTCCTTTCCCTACAAGGAACTTGAGAATGGGGTACTCTGGGAAGTTGAAGGAAAGGTTAGTAGTATCTATTGTTAATGCTATGATGAAGTTATTTATTTACATGCTAGGATTATTGACAGAGACCCCTACCATTTTTGAAATTGCAGTGGGTTGTTCAGGGTGCTGTTGATGTAGATATTGGTGCAAATCCTTCTGCAGAAGGATGTGAAGACGATGAGGGTGTTGATGACCAAGCTGTCAAAGTGGTTGACATTGTTGACACGTTCAGACTCCAGGTATAAGATTTGCCATAGCCCATATTACTTGTTTTGTCATGTTGTCTTAGTATGAGTTTTCTTATTTACTTTGAATGCCATCGGTTCTAGGAACAACCTCCTTTTGATAAGAAGACATTCGTTGCATACATCAAGAAGTACATCAAGTTGTTGACACCCAAGTTAGATGCTGAGAAGCAGGAGGTCTTTAAGAAGAACATTGAAGGAGCTACAAAGTTCCTTCTCTCAAAGCTGGGTGACCTCCAATTGTAAGCTCTATCATGACATTGCTATCTTGCATTATATCCTTGCTATACGAAAATGGAAGCTTTTTAGTTTGTTGTGCTAATGGGTGTTCTCTTTGCAGTTTCGTGGGGGAGGGCATGGGTGATGACAGCACCCTGGTTTTTGCTTACTACAAGGATGGTGCCACCGACCCAACATTCTTATACTTCGCCCATGGTCTCAAGGAGGTCAAGTGCTAGAAGATTGAACTAGGTGTCTCAATGAGCTTTGGTGGTGTTTTTTTGTAGTTGTATTACTTAAAATACTTAGTTTCGGTTTTCGTGCATTGATACTCTTCAAGTGATTTGCCAATTGTGTTGTTACTGGATTTTATACCTACAAAGAATGTTTATTTGTGGCTTAAATGGTGATTTATCTATTGATCTGATTTGCTTTGCTTATCTTAATCCTAAAGGTACTTGTAGTTGCTCTTAGAAAAAAGTGTTTGATTGTGATAGTGGGTGGTGAGTTATTGTGGGATTCTTTTGGAATAAGGCATATCCAAAGGCATCTTTGAAATCAATGATGGAAAAGAGCCATCTTTTTGGCTGGCACTCCACTGTCCGCTGTACAGTCAGTGCCACTTGACTTTGGATGTGATTGCAGTGTGCAAAGTGTATACTAATCTTTTTTTTTTTTTTTGAAAACAAGTGCATACTAATCTAGCAACTAAAAAGCTAAGAATTTACAAATTGGGAGGGGTTTCTCCATTCCCGACGGAGCGTCCCTAGGCGGAGAATTACATACATTTCTTGTCTTTGTTCTCATTCTCTAAAATCAGACGGGACAAATTGTCATCTCTAGTCAAGAAAGACATCGGTTGGCTGTTAGTTTATAGTTGATAACATTAGCTGATTGTTAGTTTATAGTTGATAACATTAGCTGATTGTAGAATAGTTGATAACATTAGCTGATTGTAGAAAAGTGTTTGGTAAATTAGCTGATAGTTGTTTGGTATAATTTTTTTTTTTTCAAAAAGCTAATTGAAAAAATTGTTTGGAGTAGCATTTTGAATTTTAACCTTTTGAAGTTGCAAAAAACTAATTAACCAAACATTTATATTGATATTTTAACTAAATCAAACAATTAATAGTGGTCAAATAAGCCAAAATTGACCAATATGCCAATATTTTACCAAACACGGCCATCATCTTATTTGGGTTGGGATGAACTTTTAACGGTGACAAAACACTCCAACTAATTCGAAATAATACTATGCTGCCAAGCACAAATTGTAGGCCTAGGTGTTTGGCAAAGTATTCTATGGATCTGGGTCTAAAATACACACCTTACATATTGAATGTTTATAATTTTATAAAAAGTAAATTGTAAACATTTATAATGTAAATTGTGTATTTTAAATTTAGATCCACCTTACAAAGTGGACCTTAATCCGTGGTATAACTTTTGTAGCTCTTTGCCTTGGGCTTCTTCTCAACCATATCACAGAACAATTTGCATAGCGAGTGCAGTAGTCACTGGCACAGCCCAAAACATTCCGCCTGAAAACTAACGAAGTTATCATGTTTTGCCAATTCATGATGTCCTTTAATTTTTTTAAAGGTTTAAAAAAATGAATTTCTTCTATCAAAGTACCGAGTAAGGAGTCAAATATCAGGTTGGGGCATTCAGTAGTTATATAATGATGTGTGTTTTGATAAACGTCGCAATTTATTAATTGCCTGTGAAAATTATAGCTTCTTCACAAAGTAAAATATGTCATTTGTGACAAGATTTAAACCAGTAATGTGTTGATTGACTTAAAACATAGAAAGTGATGTGAATTTTGATAAATGGCACAATTCATTAGTTACATGTGAAAATTCCCATTCTCATTACAAAGTAAAACATATAATTTTTGATAAGATTTAATTAGGTAACATTACATTCACGCTGATTGATGTAAACTAGATCTAGTGATGTGAGTTTTAATAATCGTCACAATTTATTAGGTAAGCGTGAAAATTCTCATATCATCACAAGGTAAAACATATCATTTATGGTAAGATTTAGATATGTAATGCTGGTTGATATAAAACAAATCAAATGATGCGCATTATGATAAACATCACAATTGATTAGTTGATTTGAAATAGATCAAGTGATGTGAGTTCTTATAAACATCACCATTCATTAGTTACATGGTGTGAAAATTCAAGAAAGCTTTAGTTAGGCTTCCTCTATCACAAATTATATTGTAAATTAGGGTTTACTATATATATATATATATATATATATATATATATATATATATATATATATATATATATATATATTTTTTTTTTTTTTGATATACCTCGAGTTTGGACACAGTAACTAATCTCCTCACTGAATTATATGCACCTTTTTTGAGTGGGACAACGGGCCTGGAGAGCTCAATTCTCAAAAAGGATTGAACCCTTGACATTTGGTTAAAGATGGATGAGTCCCTTCCACTCAATCACACACTTGACCTTTGGTTAAGCAACTGTAATTAGGGTTTACTATGCTCATTGCAAACCTTAGTCCTAATTATAACAATCAAATTATGTACATGTACTAGGCAAAAGATATATACAGAATTGGGTATTTGTGAATATTAATATATAAATATTTTTTAAGAATCGAAAGATGCATGTCACGATTTATCTTTTGTCGCAAGACTACATGACAAGAACATATACAACCCCATAGAGTTTGGTGCAATCTTTGAAAATGTGACACTACTTTATGATGCATCATACTACAAAGGGCCAAATTAAAGCAAGTACAAAATGGTATATTCACCTTTTGTGGTGAGGAATCATCAACGCTGCCAAAAGGTTATGTTTGGTTGCTTTTTCCTTTCCGATGAGTCTGTGAAAAATGATAAAACCTTGAGCTTGGTTGGTTAAGGATTATATATTGTTCGGATCATAAAGAACATAATTATTATTGTAATCTCTCTTATAATCTCTCTTATATAATACTTCGTAATTTGTAAATTATATATGTAAATTGTATTAAAAAAAATTTAAGTACTCCATAATAAATTAACGTAATTGAAAAGATATTGATAAGAATCGAATTCGTGATCCTTTAGTAGGAATGATTATTGTTACCTGCACATGTCGGTGAAGGGATTTTTGAGCAAGACGAGGATACAGTTGCAATGGGCAGTGGAACATTCAAGACTTAATTCATGTGACATAACGTCATAACCAATCATGTGGGGATATTTAAAGTATATTGTATCTATGAACAAATAAATTAAAATAGAAACATTTATTTAATGTAGTCATCATGTTCATCAGTCTAAGAAGATTATTTATTCTTATTAATTAGTGTGTTTACTTTATGAGTTTAGAGTCCAAAAATTGAAATAGAATACTACAACAAACATTTTTAAAAAATTAATCAAAAATTTGTTGATAAATTACTGATAAAGAAATGTTGCCATTATTTTCAAATGCATTTCTTTTATTTGTTAAACAAACAACGCGAACATTACTGCCTATTTAATTGCTAAGGAAGCTAGTTCTAAGTCGGTTTGTATGGAGACATGGAGTGGTTAGATCACCCTCTTTTTATTTATCAAGCTTTAATTTGTATTCAAACTTTTTAAAAACAAAAATGAAAGTTTAGTTTTTTTTTTTTTTTTTTTTTTTTTTCCAAAAAAAAAGTACCATCTTTTGAATTGACCATGCATTGACTTTTTTGGTTGTGATTTATAGGGGTATTCTCACACACTAATTTCAATTCATTCCCAAAGTATTCATGACAGGTGACCTACTAGTGCAGGGCTAGCAAAGGCATTAGGCATGCATCCAAATCAAAGTTCTTGGTTGGGTTGGTGAGATTCACCCTTCTTTAATGCTGGGGTGTTAATTAAGACAGCTCATAATAAGTATACATGGATATCGATCAGGAGCTAAGGGTATGGTAGATAGAATATAATGAAGATAAGTGATGTGATGATAAAAGTAGATTTCTAATGCTTAATTGGTTGGACCTCTACCTCACATGCATGCTTTCACCTAAAGTAAGCTTTTTAATTCAATCTACATGCAGTGGGTACACAAACATTAGGCCTTCATCGAAAATCGAAAATCGAAAATTTTGTAATTTAAGTTGTACACAACGATATCAATATATATTATATTAGAACATATATATGTGTCTAGATGTATACATAGGAACATGATCAAATGATCGAGAATTACTGCTCTGATCGTGTGAATATTAAAACTGTGCGCATAATCAAACATTACAAGATGTACAATTGTAAAATTACAAGATGCATAATTCAAAATACAAAAGTTATTATAAAAAAAACGTATTTTTTAGAATGTACAATCATTTATCCGGAAATATATAGTCAGATATTACAAGTTGTATAAAAGGTACTTCACACATTCGCACGAGAAATATGTATATATATATTAGGGTTCAAAGGAGAACATGGTGGTAAAAAGTGACGACTGATCACAGTTGCTTATCAGGGTTCACTAATTATTGAAGGTTTTAGTAAAAAAAAAAAAGATCAATTTTATAATTATTGCAAACTTTTAAGTTTGTAATATTTATAAAACTTACTCCGCTCATTTTTCTTTTATTTTTCAGCAATCTTCAACTGTTAATTTTTCCAAATAGATTGACCATATTAGTCTTCACTTTTTATATGTGAGTTTGTTCTCACTTGCAACCTCTCATACACACACACAAAGATTATGTGAGAATTTGTAGTCCCGTAAAAATGCACAGACTAATCTTATATGTCCATCTAAGATGATTAAGGGCTTGAAATTAAGGAAAAAATGTGATGACATTTCCATAATTATGACAGTGCACTTGAAAACATTGTATAGTGTATACGTGGATAACTGATAGTGTACTAAGGATCTATAATAATGCACTAACGTGTGTGCACTATTAGTTTTCCGTAGATGCACTTTCAAATGTTTTCAAATACACTGTCATAATTACAAAAATGACACCATATATTTTTTTTTCACTTTTTTTCCTTAATTTTCAGTAATTAATCATCATAGATGAACATATGATATTAGTCTGTGCATTCTCACAGAGCTACTAGTTCTCATTTGAACTTAATTCTATTTATATGTACATGTGTGCGTGCACGTACGCGTGTTATACATGCCTCATTGAAATTACACTTGGTGGATCTTTTTTAATCATTAAATTATGAAGTGACTAAAATTTTCTTAACACGCGTGTATAGTGAATAATAGAGTGGAAGGATTTCCAATCACATAAGTATTTATGAGTTTAAATTTTTATGACTTTTTTTTTTTTTGAAGAAGAAGAAGAAGAAGAAGAAAAATATGACTTATTTGTATTTTATTTTTTGAATGCTACTAACTCTATTATTATATTGTAGTACCTG